TCACCACATACCTTCGTGTTAGACTAGACGAGGACGAAACGCCGGATGCCATGGACGAAAGTCTGGAGGCAGATATTCTGTGTAAGATTCCCGAAAATGTATCAGAAATGTACGTATAAGCAATGGTGCTACAAATCCCATCCCACATCATCCGCTAATAGACGTACCTAGGTTTCTACTGGTTTCTTTAAATATCGAGGCAATCTTACAAGAATCGACAATCCATCGGAGACAAGAAAGGCTGAACAAGATGACAGATGGGTTAGGGTTAGGAGATGCCTACGGTGCGACGATAGAACGGATAAAGGCGCAGGGTGGGGATAAATCGAGACTCGGGATGGCGGCGTTGATGTGGATCAGTCATGCGGAACGACCACTTCGGGCGGATGAGCTCTGCCACGCCTTAGGAGTCGATCTAGGTTGCGCCGATTTCACCACGGGCAACATCCTGTCTATATCGACATTGGTGAGCTGCTGTCAAGGGCTTATTACAGTGGATAAGGAGGGATCAACTGTGCGACTGATCCACTTTACCCTCCAGGAGTACCTCTCCGCTCATCCTGATATTTTCAATCCTCACTCTACAATAGCAGAAATCTGCTTAACATATCTAAATTCCCGACAGGTTAAAGCCCTTTCGACCGATCCGTCTCCAACCACCCAAAACATATACTTTCTCGAATATTGTTCCATGTACTGGGGGGTCCACGCGAAGAGGGAACCCTCGGACTGTGTGGTATCACTTGCGCTTAAGCTACTTCGGGAGGGTTATAGCCAGATATCCACTAAGTCTCTTTTAGCGCAAGTCAACCGCCCAGAGCATTGGGCATTAATGATTGATCCCAATTCAGCGGGCTGCACTGCGCATCATTCTTCGGAATCGCGGAGGTTGTAGCTGCATTGATAGAGGTGGGATGTGATGATATCAACAGGGGAGACTTTTTTAGATATACACCACTTGCATGGGCGGCTCACAACGGACACGAGGGAGTGGTGAGGATACTCCTTGGGCGGGAAGAGGTCGACCCCAACAAGCCAGATGTCCATCACGCAACACCGCTTTCGCTTGCCGCTCATCGGGGACATGAGGGAGTGGTGAAAATACTGCTCTGTCGGGAAGAGGTCAAGCCCAACGTGCCGGATTATTTCGGCCTAATACCACTCTCCTTTGCCGCTTTAAATGGACATCAGGGAGTAGTAAGAATACTCCTCGCGCAGGAACAGGTCAACTCTGAAAAGCCGGACAATGGTGACCAAACACCGCTATCGATCGCTGTCAGGAACGAATACAAAAGGATAGTAGCGCTGCTACGGTCTCGTAAAGCGGAAACCGCTAGCCCAAGTTGAGGCGCAGGAAACAGCACCTCCTCCAATCCACCACTTTTCCTTCCCCTTCGTACTCTGTTACTCGCGGAGGTTGTCCGGTAGGATCACTCTTTGTATCAGAGGGAATCCAAAGGGATCGGAGTACACATAAATGCCACCACACCCTCCTAAACCTCCCTCCGTATTTGCTTAAGGGTCGAGTCAGGATCTAGGAGTTTTTATTTACAATGTATAGTATAGTTCCCTCCGCAAGGTGAAATAGCTTTGTTGACGCTTCGTTGTTGTGGGCGGTCCAGATTAAAGATTGCGGTTTTTATCTTATCATTTTTAATTTTCCTCTGGTTGTAAATCCTTGACTGCGTGTTTTTTTATATTCTCATTCCGGGTTTTTTTCCTTCCTCTTCTTTCCCCCTAACTGATTGATAGGCTGTATATAGATTGCTGTTTAGATAGCGGAAAAGTGGTGTATGATAATGCAAGGGTTCTTGGGGCGATTATTGACAACAATATAAAGGCCGTGCTGACGATCGGGGACCTGTTACTTCAAATGATACGCCTCAACGAATAATATAATATCATACATAGCGTACCCCACTGGCCATCCGCTATAGTCGTGAGTATACAAGGTGGGCGAGGGGCGCAATAGATAGGCTTTTCATGTCACCCATTAGTCTCACCCCTCTCATGATCAATTTGATAGCATGAAGCATCCCACCAGAGAAACTGCTAAGAATATGTCCTGTAACACTTATACAAAGACAACAAGGCATTACTGACAGAAGCCACCTTAACGCTGGTGAACGGCCGACACCCTAGTAGTACTCATCGCAGCACTGGCGAGAAAGAACATCTCCGAACCACTTGCTAAGCTACTACTTAATAGCAGCGCAGATCTCTCAAAATCACTGTACAAAAGCATCGTGGAAACGTAATAGAGAGCCTTCCAGCTCCCATATTGGGGGGTCCCTTCACCCGGGTTGCGGAAAGAGGGATCGAAGAGCCTACAGCCCTGTATGGTTTTGTTCACATGTAAATTGGAGATAGACACGGGGTCACGGGATCAATGGGGTTTTTCTTCTTGGAATGATATCATACACTATCGCATCGCTTGAAGCCGGTACGCAACGCGCGCCCGAATATGGCCGGATCGATCCATCGTAGGGTTTCACCGGGACAGCAGGGGTGGCCTGCGACTAAGGGTACTTGTACTTTTATTCCGGGACCCAGTCGAGGCCCAGCCTGGTTGGTCTCAGGAACAAGGATCGACAGGTAGATCTAATCCACTATTCTTCCATTTAAATAAGGTATCCCATGACCTATTATCTCCTCTCATCATAGGTAAAAAAGTGAAAAGCCTGCGGATAGTAAGCAGGTATCTTCAGACCGCCTGTGCCTCTCCAGGTTTCACCTGTGCATCAAGTTATACCCGCCCCGGCCATTCCAAGCATTTACATGGCAGTTAGCCGATCCCGCCAGGATTTGGCGGGCGACATATAATCTTCACATGACCGCCCGCACCGCTGACATCCGTGCGGACTGGACCCTGGGCCAAACTATCCACTTGGGATCACTACACCTTGAGATTGTTCAACCACGTATCAATACTAGCAACCAAACTCAGCGCGGGGCTCTAATATAATAGCCTGGAGGTGTACTTTGGTTGGCAATTCGAAAACCGATTCCGTGGCTAAAAAATACCGCTGCACTGTGGGAGGCTGGCTCAGTGACAGGCGTTCTTGTCTGGGGAATGGCGGATCCGAGGCGTCGCTCGATTTGTCCTGAGAGCCTCGTCTCCTTTCCCGCCGGAAGGTAACGTTCAATAGCGAAGGTTCAAGGAACAAAGAGAAGATGTAAATCCATTCACCCGCCGTTGTGGTTCTATTGGATGTTGTGTACGGAGATGGACGTGGGGAGGGGAGAGGATTCTCGTTGACCTTTTTCTTCCACTTAAACACCCCCTTTCACTCTTTACAAACAACGAAACTTCATCGACTATACACAATGTCCACCAGTTTCCACGCAATCGACAGCGAGTCCATCCGTGTGTCCCATATTACGTTGTTGGTGTACCGAGATCTCCGGACCTTATCGACACAAGCACGGTATAGAAAATAAGAGCCCCTAGAGCTCCATTATCCTTCGATGCGTCAACGCTAGAGTATCCCAGCGCAAAAAGTCGTTCCAGGGAGGGATGCAGTACATGACATTACGGTATTGGTTACACTATCGGTATTAAAGATACATTCCACAACTTACACGGAGCTTATCTATGATATCTGCCCGCATGATACGACAGGGAATAATGACGATGCGGCCTGCAGAGCCCAGGTTCGGACAAAAGGATGCGTTTAAATGGTGCAAGAAAAGCTTTCCCCGCGGGCGACCAGGGCACCAAAAGAGCGCGGAGAAGTAACGGGGCACCGGAGCTATCGCTAGACTGTTGAACTGGTGGAAAGTTTTGCGCCGTCCCTGTCAATGTCCGTGACACAGGTTGATGGTCGTTAATTACTAAAAATTCGCAGATGCGCAAACTTCGGACCATAGCTATCTGGTTGCACTGCACTGTACCCATGCTATTCATCACTGGAGAATACTGGGGAAGTCGCTTATTATTTAGTCATTTCCGTCCACAAAATTTTCCACAATTCAGCCACCCAGGAGCTACATGTACGAGTGCGGTACAGTACAGTACAATACTCGAGTAACATGACCTGGCTGGGCAGCGCGGCTGCTGCAGGGCTGGGTGGCTTGGCTGCCGGGCGTCTGACATGACAGTCCATGATATTGGTGCTGTAACTTACTGTACGGTATAATACTCGTATTGTACAGTGCTCGAGGAGTGTTGTTCGAGCTATTGGTATGCGTTCACATCTGCGTCACGACTGCTCAAGGAGAGGGATCAGTTGCGATGAATCAATTATACTGGCATGAAACTAGGAAAGAGGAATTGGTATTGGTCTTGTGATGTTTTGCTTATGATTCGCCGGGCGGAGGACCGAAATTTGACTGCCGGGCGGAATGTGAGTTGGCGGTGATGGATAGGTTAGAGTTGGTAAAGTTCGAGCTCAGGGCGCACGAGTGGGAACCGTAGGGCAGTTGGTCTTCTGAGTAGTCTAGTTTCTTACCACGGCAGTTCCTCGTGCAGCAAAAAGCCGCAGCACCTCTATCTCTGGTGCAGCCTTTGTATAGGCCATGAGTATTGGGCACATGTATCTTATGCGCTACTACGGTAGTATTACAACTCCCGAGCTTGCATCTGGAACCTGCGACATCCCGGAATATTAACTTACCCTGGACTACCGTAGCCCTCCTACTCCTGCTTCCCCCAACTCCAACCAACTATATATAGTCAGCGGATAGCAAGCAGAAGCGCAGCTTGTGCAAGAGCTTGACCAACCATCGCTTTTCTGGCTCCAGTAACCGTGGTTTTTCTGAGGTCTGTGAACGCAGTTGCTATTGCATACGAGCAAAAAATCGGCCGGAGCCTCGAGCTTTTGGTGGTATGCAGTGGCAGTCGTGTTCGCAAACGTTAGGAGATTACGAGTACCGGTATAGTAGCCCATCCAACCAGAACAATGCCTATGGTTACGCCGCGATATAAACCTCGCTAGAGAATCCTTTTTCCTCCTTTCCCCCCATCAGCCCCCTCACCCCTTTCACCGTAGTCATTCGCTATGAGGGTTTTCACCATTACTATTGCGAGTGCTTTGCTTTGTGCTGGAGCGGCTGCTGCACAGAGCGGTACCTCTGCTGCTACTGCTGCTAGTTCTACCCCGTGGAGGAGCATTCCCACGCTCCCCAGTGATATCGACCAAGGGAGGAAATTGTTGGCGAATTTAGAGGACCCCAATGCGAAGAGTGCCCAAAAACTTTGCCCCGGTTATACTGCTATCAACCTTCGGAACTGTCCTGGCGGGTTGAGTGCACGTTTGCTATTGGCTGGTGCGAATTGCGATCTTTATGGCACTGATATAGAGTTTGCCCCATTTCCCCTCGTGTTACCCCCCAACTATGTGACTGATAACCAATTGTGCCTCCCCCTAGTCAACTTTCCCTCCGAGTATTGTTCGGGCCGAAATCTCGGCTCAATATTCGAATCCTACCAGCCGAGATCCCGGAGGGACAGGAATCGTGGTACGATACTAAAGAGGATTATCTCAGGAGGACAGTTAACGGAATTCACTTTAATCCAGCGGACTCCGAGCTTGACTTCCAGCTCAACAGCTCGCCATTCGAATTCTCCGTTGTGAGGAAGAGTACAGGTGATGTCCTGTTCTCTACTAAGGGGAGTAAATTGGTCTTCGAAAACCAATTCCTTGAATTCCGCACGGAATTACCGGAGAAATACAACCTTTACGGGTTAGGCGAGGTCATGCACAGTATTAGACTCGGAAATAACTATAATCGCACAATCTATTCAGCAGATGTGAAGTATGTAATTTCTAGGCCTCCCTCTATGAGACTATTTCTCAGTCCCGCTTACTCACGTTTACCTCAGTGATCCTCTTGACGAGAATCTTTATGGCTCTCATCCTTTCTACTATGAGCATCGCTACGCTACACTGAAGGATGGTTCAAAGAAAGGATATGCTCATGGTGTATACCTCCGCAACCTACACGGACAAGACATCCTCCTACGCGAGAAATCACTCACATGGCGCACCATTGGTGGAATGGTCGACTTGACATTCTACTCTGGACCTACTCCTGCGGATGTCATTGCCGATTATGTGAAAACAGTGGGATTACCAGCGATGCAGCAATACTGGACTTTTGGGTTCCATCAGTGCAGGTGGGGGTACTCTAACGTGTCTGATCTCAAGGGCGTCATTGAGACATACAAGAGCTTTAATATCCCGTTGGAAACAATTTGGACTGATATTGATTACATGGATCAGTGAGTTCCCTACTGCTTGGGGAATATATCTAACAAGTATAGATACCGTGACTGGACCAATGACCCAGTAACATACGACCTCGAAGCCTTCTCCGCGTTCCTCGACAAGCTCCATGCGGATGGCCAACATTTTGTGCCAATCGTTGACGCCGCAATTTACGTCCCGAATCCTAACAACGCCTCGGACGCCTACCCCTACTACGATGCCGGCCTCGCTGCAGACGCCTACCTGAAGAACCCTGACGGGAGTCTTTATATTGGCGCCGTCTGGCCCGGTTTCACGGTTTTCCCTGACTGGTCTGCGCCTGGAACCCAAGACTGGTGGACAGACTCTTTCCAAAAATGGTACAATGAAGTAGAGTACGACGGCATCTGGCTTGACATGAACGAAGTGTCGTCTTTTTGCGTTGGAAGCTGTGGTAGCAAGAATGTCACCCAGAACCCCGTACACCCTCCATTTCCTCTCCCTGGTGAGCCAGGAAACCTGATTTTGGATTACCCCGAAGGCTTCAATAATACCAATTCCACAGAAGCTGCGAGCGCAACTGCTGCAATTAAATCTAGAAACTTGGCCAGGGCGACCAAGGCAGCTGCTGCTGGATCTTCGCCTATGGTTACGCTCTTTGTTTCCCAAGTCACCCCTGGGGCAGATGTAAGGGCGGTTAATTACCCGCCATATGCTATTGACCATGTGCATGACGGGCACGATTTAGCGGTTCATGCAGTTTCGCCAAATGCGACGCATTCGGATGGAAGTTTGGAGTATGATATGCATAGTTTATGGGGTGAGTGGATCTCCGGGAAATGCGAGTATGGGATTTCGCTGACCTTTTCATAGGCCATTTGGAAACAAAGGCGACCTACGAATCGTTGTTGAAGGTGTTCCCGGGGAAGAGGCCTTTCATCATCAGCCGTTCTTCTGCTCCCGGAACCGGTGCTTGGGCTGGGCATTGGGGTAAGGCACTCCCGGCCTTATTTTTGAAATAACCTTTACTGATCGGAAAAATCGCAGGAGGCGATAACGCTAGCAAGTGGCTCTACATGGCTTTGTCGATTCCTCAGGCATTGAGCTTCTCCATGTTCGGCATTCCTATGTTCGGTGTCGATGTTAGCATCTATCTGCCCTCCTCCTTGAGGCCAATGCTAACTTTAATCTAGACCTGCGGTTTTAACGGAAACACCAGTATGGAGCTTTGCGCTCGCTGGATGCAACTCTCAGCATTCGTACTTCTCCCCCCCAACCCCCACCCCCTTCCTAGCCTCGAAAACCCCCGTCCCCCTTACTAACATCCGTAGTTTCCCTTTTATCGAAACCACAACGTCCTCTCTGCCATTTCCCAGGAAGCTTATCGCTGGGCGGCCGTTGCTGACGCCTCCCGCACGGCGATGGCAATTCGCTACACCCTCCTCCCATATATGTACACACTCTTCCACCACGCGCATACCACCGGTGCAACCGTTATGCGCGCGCTATCTTGGGAATTCCCCAATGATGAATCCCTAGTCGAGGTCGACCGCCAGTTCATGTTAGGTCCGGCGATCATGGTTACTCCGGTATTAGACCAGGGCGCAAATTACACCTATGCTACGTTCCCAGGCGGGAAGAACGAGAAGTGGTACGATTGGTACACATACGAGGCTAGAAGTGGGAGTAATGGAAGCTTGGCAAATTTAACAGCGCCGTTGGGACATATTCCGGTGTTTGTTAGGGGGGGTAATATTTTGGCTTTGCAGGTTTGTCAACACCATCGGAGGTTCGGGCGAGGTACTAATCGGCGAATAGCATCCGGCATACACAACCGCGGAATCTCGGAAGAACCCTTGGGATGTCCTCGTCGCATTGGATTCTGAAGGGGATGCATATGGAGATTTGTACCTTGATGACGGGGAAAGCCTTGTTCAGGAGAAGACTGTCTTCATAACTGTATGCTCACCCCGCCTCCCTGCGTTTTATTAAAATTTAGCACTTACAACCCCCAGCTCGAAGCAACAAACTCCCTCCTCAATGTATCGCGAAAGGGGCAATGGATCTCCAAAGAAACACTATCGTCGGTAATTATCCTAGGGGTATCAAAGAAGCCTGATCAAATCACGTTTGGAAAGGAGAAACTTGACAAATGGAACTGGGAAGAGAAGAGTCAAGTTTTGAAGATGACGGGGCTCGAGTTGGTGACGAAGGGAGGGGCATGGAGTAATGGGTGGGAGCTGAGTTGGAAGTAAATGGTTTTCTTAATATAATTATTATTCACTATTAATGTCGGTTTTGGTGCGAGGCACCACAATGACCTGGACCAGACTGAACTGAACGAACAATTTGCAGGGGTATTGTGCACACATTTGTCATCACCCGGAATTCCCGTGTAGGGATGTCTGCCCAAGGATGAAATTAGTGGGGCAAAGCGGGAACCATGCTAGTGGTGAGGTTTCTCAAGCCGCGAGTTTCCCATCACCCTTAGAGCAAACGCAACAGAAGAGATTTGATAAATTCTCTAGGAAATTAAAAATGATGGAAAATTCCCGGTAGATTTTCCTCTCATTATCGCAATCGATTTGAATATAGTTGTACCACAGAGTACAGAACAGCGCAAGCGCTTACAAGAATACGGTATCATACCGCTACAGCCCTGGTTGATGCTTCCCACACATGGAAATGATAGGAGCATGCGGCACGGCGGTGACACAACAGGCCGCATCTCCATGCTTATCCTCAGCTCTGGCAGCGAGAGCTCTATAGCCCCGCTTTACATCCGACCATATTTATTACACCATCTTTACATTCAACTGGAAATTCGGAAATATTATTATGGGTGATGAGAAGCACACAAACTCGGTCACCCCGGGCGACGGGGATTTCATCAACGGCATCGTGATGTGTAGTTTCAACAACACCACTGCCAATGCGACCGATGAAAAAACAGGAATTGAAGCAGCGGCTTTCGCTGCTGGAGCCCCAGAACAGACATCAAGGTGTGCGTGCAGACCAGCTAAATAGCGTCGGGAATTGGCTTCTGGAAACAAACGAGTTTGGGAAGTAGAGAAGTGGTAAGGGTGGGGCTGATAAGGCAGTCTTTCTTTGCTCTGGAAATCCAGGAGTGGGCAAGACATATCTCCAGTACGTGGCGAAGTTTGCTGGGAAGAGAAAAGATGGGCATATATAACGCTAATCAATATCAGCCCCCTAGTAATGGATAGACTATACAATCAAGCTAGAGAATAAATCGCCGTCGCGGGGGCGTACTGCAATTTCCGGATCACGTCAGAATGCTAATGACCACCATCGCCTCGCCATCCCAAGTGTTCATCTGTATCGATGCTCTGGACGAATTTACGTCTAAGAATCTACATGATCTTCTTGTGTCGCTGACCGAGATCATTCGGGAGATAGCAGGCGCGCAGGTGTTCTTCACCGAGATGCCTCATGTTGAGAACCAGACTTTAAGGTTTTCCACCAAGGCAGTTACGATACCCATTAGTTCTGACCATAATGACATCCATAAATACCTACAATGGAAGTTGGAGATGGGTGCTCAGCTCTACGCAGTGAACCATGCTCTGCAGGAAGATATTCTGAGAAATATCTGGGAAAGGATCTCAGAAATGTGAGTTGAAACATCACCCTTCCTCAATACATGTCATGGTGATGCCTACGCGATAACTCTAGCATAAATGAAGGGACCTGTTGGGAGCAGGCCCGACTTGGACTAGAAGCCCTGATGTAGGTATCGAATTCGGAGCGGCCATTGCAATCTGAGGTGCTCTGCCACTCCTTAGGAGTGAGATAGGATTTGTAGAAATAGATCCTAAAAGAGTTCCTGCCATACAAACCGTTTAGGGTGCTCCCCGGGGCTCATCACAATTGAGAAATCTTCGTCTGCCATTAGGATGGTCCACTTCACTCTGCAAGAGTATCTGTCAATTGCGGAGGTTTGCTTGACTTATCCCAACCCCCGGCGTCCAGGATCTTGCCCCAACTCTGTGCTCTGCCCCGTCAAAACCCCTCTTGTAGGATACGCTCTGTTACTGGGGAAGGCGCGCAAGAGGGGGGGTCGCGAGGAATGTAAAACCACTAGGATTGAAGCTTCTCGATGGATTAAATCAGCACATCTCCTTATTTGATAGAAAATTTTGGGAACTAGCTTTTTATAGAAGATGTATCCCAGAAGGATTTACTGGGTTCCACGGAGCAGCATCCCATGGGGTTGCGGGGATAGTTGCTGCCCTACTAGACGCAAGGGAATGGAGGTACTTTTGGTACGAGAGGATATTGATCCGGACATCGCCGACAGCAAATATGGCTAAACGCCAGTTGTATGGCTATGGAGGGTCATGAGGATGTTGTAAGGATGCTATCGAGGCGAGCAGACGTCAGTCCGAATCCGGCAGTCACTAAATTTGGCCAAATACCACTTTTTTTTGGCTGCTATGGAGAGGCACGCGAGGGTAGCAAATATGCTCCTGAAAGGAAGATATCAATCCGAATACTCCAGACACCGAATCTGGCCGGACACTCTCGTGGGACGCCGAGGGTGGACATGAGGATATGGTAAGGATTCTTTTGGAACGAGAGTATGTTAATCCGGATACGCCAGACGTCGACTACCACCGTACGCCGCTATCATTGGCAGCCGAGAACGGGCATGTAGATGTGGTGAGGACGATTTTGGCACATGGGGATATTAGTCCGAAAAAAGGTGAACACCAATTATGACCGAATGAAACTTCACAGAAGACATGCAGAAGTAGCGCAGATGCGTTTAAAACAAGAGGATGTCGACTCAGTGGTTCTCCGCGACCAATCGTTGCATTCATTAACTGTCCCGAGGGAAATACAGGAATTTCCTAGTTACTCTCAGTGGACGAGCTCCCGATTCCCGGCCCAACAGGTATCGCTGAAACCCTAGAGTTCCCCTCAACTGGATCCATCAACATACCTCAAGTCCCTTCCCTGCCTCTCCCATCAGGCTGCCTCTCATCGGCAGAGCCTGACTCCCTGCCCAGGTTCCCGATTACCCCTCCGAGCAATAGTTACTGTATCCTCATTGCCTCCCCGATATTCCTTCTCTTTTTCCTCCCGGGTGTCAGTTCCTCCGCGTCAGCCATGCCATTACCATCCCATAGGAGGTTACCACATGTGGGGTGGGTGTTCACAAAGCTTCCACGGATCTGGTTGTCAACGAGAGAATCACGCCTCAGTAATTGACCAGAAGTTACTGCAAGGACTCTCGTGATGATTTACGACGCTTAACCTATACTCTTCACTTTCCCCGGGTTTTTCCAATTATCTTTTTCTACTTTGAGTCATTTTCCTCCTCACCCACACTGTACAATACATTACCGAGGAACTTACCACTTTATCATGAGACCACTTTTCCCCACATTCTCTCCGTTTCAATTTTCCTTTAGAAAATCTCCCGAACCCCCGAGGGATCCACAGTATATGAAAAAGGAGGGTTTTTGGTATGCGGGAGCACCTTGATACAGAATCGGCCGCCGTGGTCTATAAAGGTTAAAACCGCTGATTCTCTCAGACGCGGTATTCAGGTTTTTGGATACTCACAAGACCGCAACATGATTAAGATCTAACTTCCAATATTTGCGGCTCATAGTCGGTGTATTTTTTTACATGCTGCTCCTCCCATAAAATCCAAATGGCACTCAGTTACCACATAATTGATCAAGTGAAAGGAAATAAATGGTTCCCGTACCAAGGTCTACTAGAGAGCCCATTCCTGGCATATCAGAAATCTATTATCTCCGAGAGGTAAATTACAAAAGTAATTACCCATGAAAAAACCCACCTACAACCAATGTGTAATGAACTTTTGGCCAAACGAGTTCGAATAATGCTGCCTAGGGTGAGCCACCCTAGTGGCCTGAATTATAAAGCTTCTCATTACTACAAGCCGGTTTTTCTGCAGCTTTCTCTATTCAGGATAGGTAAAGGCTTTCCTAATGATGATAGCTTCCATGAGTAAGGTCGAAGAACTGGTTGATTACCTGGTTCAATTCAGTTATCCCAAATTACTTGATATTGTAATTCAGGGACCTTGCGCGCAGCAGCTGCTCCATCATACTAGTCTGAAGCGTGTAACCCCAGGTGTGAACGCAATTACGAACGACTGTACCCCGAAAGTTTTGTATATCCCCGACACTGAGCAGCCACGAAGGAGTGGGTATCGTCCCCAACCCGGGAGGCGGTGCTCCGCGTGTTATCCCCTAGGATTCTAGTTTAAGTTATGTGAATAGGAAATCGCGATTGGCTTTATGGCATTTTCCGGTGTTCACACGCTATCACACATTTATCGGCTCCCCGTTCCAAAGAGCCCAGAAAGCTCCGGGGAGTCCGTAGAGTCTTATATCATGAAACAGCAACCATCTCGCCCCCCAGGAACTTGGGTTATATGGCGGGGCAACAGCATCCATCTTTCCAAATATTATCATAGTATTGCCCTCGTGGATTCCCAGCAACACAGTAGCCACAAGTCCCTGCCGGGTGCCACATTCACCGCCCCTTCGGTTGACCAATGTAGTTGTCTAGAATCTGGATGGACGACAGGATGCCCATTCTCCCAGTCCTGAGCACAAAACAAACCCCCGACGGCCGCCCTGAGTCTAAGTGAGGGCTGGTAAATTGGGTGATTGGACGCGTTGGGTTCTGTTGTATTCGGGAGGGATCCAGAGCTGTCTTCCGTAGGTAGGAACCCGAAAGAATCATCTAGTATCACTCGTAGGATCTGTGCATGCTTAAGATCTGCCTTAGAACGCAAGAGTTGGGTAGTCCGGCCTTTCCCACCCCCCCACATACACACAAAAGGTAAAAAAGATTCAGGTTATATCCCACAAACTCAGATAGATTGTCCACCTTGGTTAAAGTTCCCAAGGGCCCACTGGGGGGGGTTCCGGTGAGTTGAACAGTCCAAGCGAATGGCGTTTTTGTAGTTTACTGAGATCTTATGAGCAATTTGTTGACTGTCAAGGTGCTGCGTGGTACAAATCTCTGATGGTTTGCCTCTGTGGTGCTTGTTGTTTGTTCCTGCTGGACGTTGTATCATACCATAGGAGGGTTGTGGACGGCAGATATCCACGAAGTATGGAATGCTTAAGAGGATCTTTTAAACGACGATGACAACAACGATTAGTAACTCGACAGAAATACAACTCCGATTTCCAGAGCAAGACTTTGGGATATGGTAAGTAGGGAAGTTTGCTCGTTCTCATTCAACTCCCTCCCTCTCTCTCCGCTCTATCGCTCTACTCAAATGACTAACTGGTAAAGACAGGGGTATGTATCATACGAATCGCAATAAAGGCATTCTCCTACCTTCCATCAGTCACCACACATACCCACTCCCATCCACGCAAGTCTCACTTCCCTTTGCGTTCTCCCATGCTAATAAAAGAAATACAGGCTTCATCAAGAGTTCCAGTATTCGTAGCCTCCACTCCGCTCAGTCATTTAACGCTCCTGCACTGCTCCCCAAGGGTACATCATTTCCTCCCCCGGGTGCGTTAATCCAAAGCGCATCCCCGAAACCTTTATCCGAACAACAAAACAACACCCCGAGCATGCGAGAAGCATCCGCGATTTTCAATTGGGTCAACAAAAGGTTTCGGAAAGACCGTCAAAATAGCATCCAAGGCACCAGTCTAGAGCCCGATCTTAAACTATCACTCGCCCCCTGGTCACGGGATAGTGTTGTGATAATATTGATGGATGGTTGGCAAGGTGAGCTTGAACGAGGGTCGAGAAAGGAGGAACGCCTGACATTCTCAAAGGGAAGGGCGAGATGCCCGAACCACCCGCCGCCGGGAGCGAGACACAGAAAACCAGCGATGACAGTGGGAAAGAGGGCGAAAGAGATATAAGGAAGTATATCCAATAGTGCAAGAGGTCTAGACGCGACCATAAGATCGAATGTAAGGAGAAAAGCAATAGTACGAGTGATGCCACAGTAGTGCCAGAAGCATGTTTCAACAGATAGCCCAAAGCTAACATTCTCTTTGGTGCCTGGTGCATCCAGTGATGGATTCGGGGGCATGACAATTATCCTAGCAGCGCACAGTCTCAGCGATAATCACTCTTGCTATATCGGGGCGTGGTAGTGTTCCGACATCTTCGTTATTCCGCATAATTTGTGTCTTTATTCCGCCAGCGTCCCTCTCAACTCACTCGTTAAACATGATTTACCAAGATCAGAATGTGGTAAAGGGTAGAGTGACATTCGCACCGGCAAAGTAGATTCGACAATGACGTTCGGATAGAGAATGGTAGCAGTGTAAATCGCGCAGCTATCCGTGAACATATGGTGAGCCTCTTCGAGTTCATGCATGGCACATACACCCCCGCATCTCTGGGTGCCACTATTGATGGACCACCCGACTGTTGGTGGTTGCGGATGGATGATGGGAGGTTACAGTTGATCTTTGAGATTGCGGGACTCCCGTGGATCGTTTAGGAGCGTGATGGATTGTTCTAGAGCTTTTGCGATTGACGATGATTCTCTAGATATGTCTCTACCTTGTTATTACAAGAGTGTGACGAGGAATGGGGACATGCGCGGAGACATAGAGATAGGTCTGGCGGTCCATGGGAGGATCAGGGTGCTTTGATTATCTTTTATTCATATATAACTGTCTTTACAGTTAGTTTAGTTAGAAAGATGACGAAGGAATGTAGAAGAGAACGAAGTTGTTGACCGCACCTTCCTTATCTTTCTTACACAGTGCCTACGTCCCCAGTATACCCTATCATTCTGCCACTGAGTTATCTATCTCCCACCTCAATCCACCTTGATACTGACAAGGTCGGCAAATAAACAGCGAGTGCAACTGAACAGGAACGAGAAACACGACAGCGGGGAGAGCGATAACGTCAAACATTCCAAAATATAATGAAGACTCCAATAAGAAGGGAGTGAAGAAAAAAATGAGTGAGGCATTAAGAAACATGCAGAAATACCCGTTTCAATAACATCCGTCAACGTCAGGCCACACGATGGAGAATGTCGAGAGTAAGGGTCCGAAGTGTGTAATGGAGAGCTGCCGGCAGCCCGGAGCTGGAAATGGGGAAATGCCCCTCCAGATCAAACAGAAAGAGCCATGTGCGAACTGTTTTACAGAGAGCCCTGTCATTCGCCTCCACTAGTTATCGTATGTTAGCACTCTTTGATGATTTGTTTTCTTATTCTGTTTTTCCATCCCCCTCATAACGCAGCTGGGAACTGACTCTGTTGCTCTCATTAGTCCTAATACCAATCCAGTACCAGTCCATCCTAAACCAATATCCCCAACCAGAATTTTCAAATAAGTGAATTTCCTCAGCTCACCTTAGCCTTTCCGTAAATATTTTTGTTTTGGTCAGCTGAGGTTGATTTACTTTGCTTAGAAACCGGAATAACAGGGTCTTGTGTTAAAAAGCTTCTCTCGGCTCCCTACTAAGACAGGCAAAAAAGAGAAAATATAGCAAACCTTTTGATTCCAGGAGGTAACTTAACTCCAAAATCCTTGCATGAAGTCCTATTGACCCAGTTTCTAAGGTGCTAGTGCACATGTTGGATTTCCCTGGGTAAAGGAGTTATAAGGCATGAGAGCACTAGGATGGGGCATCCATTACCAGATATTGGTTCCAAATCCCATGGCGTTGCGCATAAGGCATTATTAGTATTGGTTTTATTTCTTTTATCCCAGATGCTAACGGGGATCAACCACCGGGAAGTCTGTTCGACCTGTTTTTACGCCTATGCTACTAGGGGAAAAAAAGAGGACCAGGTTCAGTGCTTAGTTTTCACGGGTCATGGATTATCGAGGTGACCGTGGGCCCCCCAGCCACCATCGTGGTGTATCTGCTGAGTTCGTGTCACTATCGGAAGGTCCGTTTTCCTCTAGACTTTGCCCATCCTCAGAGGTTCGTGGGGTTTCGTTCGGTTCCCGGAGCTATTTGCTGTCCGGGAGACATATATATTTCCCAGTCTACTTTTAGCTAGCATTTCCACGGGTCGTCCGATATATCATCTTCCCACGTTCAGTTGTGATTAATTCATCGTGGTCTCATTTGCACTCCTTCCACCCTTTAGTCGTTTCTCTAATATGAGCCCCGTTCACAAAGCACACATACCCTCCACATGGAAACCACACCTAAAAATAAACACAAAAGAAAGAACTTATGGTTTTTGAGTTTGTAAGGATAACAGAGTCCAGGTGAGCGAGCGAGCCCCCATACATAGACAGAGTTGGTGACCTCGCCCACTCATGCACTAGTTGTATATGCCGCCCGTCCATCAATACCGCCTTATCTTTTCCCTTTTTCACAGTCCAAAGTCACGATTCAAGACAAGAGTTCCAGATGAACGTGTGGCGTGGGGGAGAGAACTTGGAAGGTCATAATAGCTATCGCAAGCATCATCCTCTGGGCAGAGCCTGCAGAAACGGTCAGAACAGCGTCCTAAAAATTTAGACTGATTACTGCGTTCAACGGGCACAAGTACCATAATATTATCATACCGGTATTGCACGTCAGCATGCATCTGATAAGATAACACTAATCAAGCATGAATTCCTTCTCCATCCAGACACTCCCGCATCGCCTTACCCACCACAAGCATAGAATACAATGCGAACCCCAGCACCCTAAGCTTAAACCCTCCCAGTCCATCCCACCGCTCCATGCGAATCCCTCAACCTCAATGCCAATATCCACACGCAACCCCTACAGGCTATCCGCCAGTTCCTCCGAACGGACGAAGGCCACGCCAGCCAGATAGCATTCGGTCACACATGTCTGGACATGGGAGCTGGCTAGAGAAGGGGGAACTGCATGCGTACCCGGAATGATTTGCGAAGACTTTAGCTTCCATGGCCGGTGGAATCTCGTATGACATGATATGATGGGGAATGCATTGGGAGGGTCTAAAGTAATATCTTGAGGGAAATAACGATCAGCAAAGTGCCGTAACCTAACTGTGATGTTAATTTCATCCGCTTGATCCTATCTTATAATATACTATGTCCGTCACCCACTCATGGTTATAGTTCCTATACTAGGAATGCAGTAACTTGGTGCGAATGCTTGGGTTATGGTCATCATCTCCCGTCACAAGGCCCGATATGCCCTCGCACTTCATATCGACAGACAATCCCGTTGCTATCGTCAAGGACTACAATTCCCACTGCAAACCTGTACTGTACATCGTACAGTACTGTACAGGCACGTAGTAGATGAGCTCGTCAAGCTACCAATCCCAACTCCTCACCACTAATTCGCAGCCTTGTCCACTCACCGGTGTTCATGTCGGCACAATAACTCACCCAGTCCGGCGCCCACTCCATCTCACCGCACACCGTGTCCCATAATTTTCCGGAATCATTTCCAGCACCATTCCCCTCCCCCTCCTAATTGGAAAAAGAGTACCGTGCGACGCAGCGCCCCTACAGGGAACAGGATTCCCGGAAGCCTCATCCACCCTTTGCTACTTTTGGAAAAACAAGATTCCATGTTTGGGGGCTGGCCGTGCAGTCTTCCCTCGTATGGTAATCCCCTTTCCCCTTTTGGAGGCGGAAGCGTAGAGCGAGAGATTAATCGGGAGATTTTTAGATGACGCTCAATTAGGCGGTTTTGGGGGATTTCGGGTTCATCGGATTTGTGCCTTTACTCCGATTCTACTCGTTCTGTGCCCAGAATTGGAAATTGGGAAGTTTGCTGTATTTACGCTTCCTACGATAGAAAAAAAGCAAGCCAGTCGCCGTGATGATCGTGGGGAAAATTGCTTTAGGGCGGAAGAGTCATAGTTCCCGTTGGCTCGCGCTCAAGTTCAAGTGTTGAAGGGTCCTTCACGTTAACGTACAGTATGCTTCCCATCACCCCGCAACCCCGCCATCCACAGAATTTCGCGGTACTGCAATACTAGAACTAGCAAACAAACAATGTCTACGACTAAGTGTGGCTTCCATTCCTTCGCCCTCACTTGAAGTTGCAATGGACACGATATGCTAACCGTCCCAGCCTCAGACCGATCCGCGCCTGTCTCTTTGACATGGACGGTCTCCTCCTAAACACGGAAAATCTCTACACAAAGGTCACGAACATGATCCTAGCGGAAAGTGGACGTCCGGCCATGCCTTGGAGTATAAAGGCTCAACTTCAGGGAAGACCAGGACCAATAGTTTGTTCTCTCCCTCCTTTTCTTCCCCCCAACCGATCAACCAACTGACCAACTGACTAACCAACTCACCAGGCGACAAGCATATTCTTCGAATGGGCCCAATTAAAAATCTCCCGCGAGGAATTCATCCGGCGCCGCTCGGAACTCCATACTGAATTCTTCCCCTCCTGCGGCCCGCTTCCGGGAGCCCCGGAACTTCTAGAAGCCCTCTCCACAGCAACTACCCCCTCAGGCTTACCCATTGAAGTGGCGCTCGCAACGTCCAGCACAGCTGACTCCTTCGAGCTAAAGACAGCACACCTACAAGACCTCTTCAAGTACTTCCCCAAAGACCAAAAAATCCTCGGTGATGACCCACGAATCCTGCACGGTCGCGGGAAGCCAGCGCCCGACATATACCTTGTCGCGCTAGAGAGCATAAACGCTCGCTTACGTAGCGAAGGTAAGACAGAGGTTCTACCGGACGAGTGCCTGGTTTTCGAGGACGCTGTTCCGGGAGTTGAGGCTGGGAGGAGAGCCGGTATGCGCGTGGTCTGGATACCGCAGGAAGAGCTCAGGAGGGAGTTTGCTGGTAAGGAAGAGGAGATATTGGCCGGCATTCCGACGGTCAGTGGCGCTGAAGGGGAGGTCGTTGAGGAGGATAGGAAGGTGGGAAAAGTGGGCGATGGGTGGGGCGAGTTGAGGGAGAGCATTATCGGGTTCGATTACGCGAGGTATGGTATTCGAGTAAAAGAATACCGGTAGAAGTGGACGGACGGAGGTGGGTATCCAAACAGAGTAGATTAGATTTGAGAGTTGCCACTAGAATAGATGGCTCGGACACCATATCGTATTTTCCTATTCCACTGGTACAAGTACCAAACGTATAGATAAAAATACCGGTTCTGGTTGGTACAGCACTCGAGTACAGTACAGTACAGTACAGCAACCCTTTGCTCGCCACAGCTTGCAGCGGGAGGAGTCCAGCATGCTTGGTTTCGACCCGGGCAAACGCCGGCGGAGGATCGATCCTCCGATTTGGATTGGGAAAAAGGATTACTCGAGCGCCTCAGTTAACCACCACCACAAATCACAAAAGCCGGCAAGCGTCGGGACGTGCCAAATCATCCTCCCGAGCGCCTCAAACAAAAAAGGCCTATCCCCAACTTTTTTTATTCCACCTTTCGCAGGAACATCATATCCGTGGAGTTACCATCGGCTCGCCTTCCCACGCGAGGTGCATGAATCATGAAACTATTCCAGTCAGGACACGAGAAGGTGTGTGGTTCAGTGAGCGGTGCTACGACATTGTGATGTTGCAATACCTTCATGACAAGTGGAGCGTCTTTTCTCCGTCAGGAATTCGTGTACAGTACTCGTACAGTATACTCTCTCTCTCCATGGGATATTTTTATGTCCGCCCCGGATAGTTCCGCAGACAGTTACTCGTATACGTACAGTACAGTACTGTACCATACTGTACTCGTACAAGTAAACAGTCGATCAAGCAGACACACATCGGACAGGATCCCCCGGTCCCACGGCAACTCTACACCACACTCTCCCGTGTTGGGTTCTTCTACGATACCACGCTGGATTTCCCTATACCAACTGCTTACGCCGAACCATCCTCCAAGCACTTTGGTTATGTGAGCGCCTGACCAAGACACCCGACTTCCTTCCTTGCGGGTATGGTGGTGCCCTTCGTGCCGCAGCGATAGACGCGAGAGTACTCGTACAGTATTTCATAACCGGTACCTTACGGTAGTGACAGGAGTCCGGCAAGTGCCGGTATTGTATCATACGGCACTGTCATCCGTCCGGGCTTATGAATAGGTGGCAGTCACTGTATTTCAAACCCTGATAATATTATAATATTATGATACCGTGTAATATTTGTACTTCTCTCCCTCCACCTTGCCATCTATGCCTGAACGCGTTATTTGCAAGCGCAAGGCCAACCCGGCGTGGCCATAATCCCGATACGAAGCGTATATTGCTGGAAAGCCTGACGAACCTTGCTGCGCCGCGGTTAGGTTAAGGCCCGTCCGGGGAGGAGGGGCACCTTGCTGTAATTTATCATAGTCTACGGTAGTCTACGAGGTACTATCCGAGCACGCTTCACTCAAGGTCCAGAATTCTTGACTCTAGTGTAGGCTTGGCTCACTAAAAATAATTATCCACTCTCCAGCAAAATCGCCTTGGGTTATGCGTAACCTTCTGTTAACAATCACAGAGATTTTTGCGATATTAGCGAGATGTTTTATTTAACCTCCAAGTTTACACATTAACCCTTAGTTACTGGTATCATACCTTTTTTTATGAGTCCAACTACAAGTAATATGCTGGGGATATTATATTAATACCATTGGCCAACACCATAAAAGTAACCCAAGGCAAGTTCCCGTGTTTGCTCGTTAACTCACTGGGAAATGATGGGGTTTAACATTCGATACCCCGCCAGCCTCCTCGTCAATCCCCCCCAAATATGCCCAAGCGGAGACCCACCAAATTGTAAGCTCGGGAATATAATTCCCCGTCCTTGGCGAGACATGCGCCCCTCGTCCCACAGCCAATTAAAGAGACATGATGCAAAGTAGATCATCACGTGCCCGATTGGTAAAATTTTCACGTCTCACATCCCTTATCCGTAATTCCACCGACGCTCTCACCCGAACCCGACGGAGCCACGGATGCCACCACCTTTTCTTACCCTCCTCCCACCTTCCCACAGCCATTCCCGCCGAAACTTGGCTTCCCAACCTATCATACCCAACCAACTTATAGCATGGCATGGTACGCTCCACCAGAATAACAATATAAGTATGCCCCCTTCCCCACCCTTCCACCACGATGGATGCGACAGCGACGACGATGAGGACATGTTCGTAGATTCCCACTCCCACCAGTCAGCAAGCCCAACTACTACCGGCATGTCCGATACCACACCACCACCGACCCCATTCCAAAGCACTCACGAGCAGCAGCAGCAGCACCCCACCATGGAGCGTCGACTCGGTAGTTTTTCCGCGGGGAGTGAGGCGCTGGGCGGATTCGTCTTTCCGAGCACGAGCGACACGGCGGAACGGGATATTCGCGAGGTGGATGGTGACGACGACGACGGGCATATGGACACTTCGGAGGATTGCGTGGCGACGGCGAGAGTAGCGGGCGCTAGGGAGGGGGAGGAGGATGAACACAAGCCCATGAAACCACCGCTCGGAGAGAGGTTTTCGAAGGATGAAGAGAATGTTGGCGCCCCTTCCTCTTCCGCCTGTTCTTTCTTCTCAAGTTTTTGCTCTCCCTCATCCTCATCCTCCTCCCGCTTCCCTTGCCCCCCTCGCCCCCCCACCTTCTGCTCCCCCTCCTCCCCCTCCTCCGCACTGCAAACTATCCGCACCCGTCACCGACTCTGCCGCCGCAAAGCTAACCACCGCGCCAACCCTACTACCGCTTCCGCGCCACAGCGCCTCATAACAGAGTCTACCTCCTACCGCATCTCGGGAAATCGTCTATTCAACTCCAACTTTCTCCTCCCCGCGCTCGACGCGTACAAGCTCGCGCTGACCTCGTGTCCAATCTACCTAGTCCACGAAGTGGCGACGATATATGCCAACATCGCTGCTGTGGAATTGAAGCTGCAGCGCTATCCCGCCGCCGTTAAAGCCGCCACAAAAGCGCTGGAAGGTCGGCCGCGCTGGGGGAAAGCATTGTACAGGAGGGCACGGGGCAGGGAGGGGATTGGCGGTTGGGCGGAGCTGGAGGGGGCGTTGGAGGATTACAGGGCTGTTGAGGCCTCGGCCGGTGGGGCTGGGGGTGCAGCGGCGGGGGGAATTGGCGAGAAGGAATTGGAGATTGTCAGGGAGAAGATTCGCTGGTTGCCCGGCAGGATCGAGGAGGTTAAGGATACCGAGACAGCGGAGGTTATGGGGAAATTGAAGCAGATGGGCGAAGGGTTGCTCAAGCCGTTCGGGATCAATACTAGTGATTTTGGAATGGTCAAGGGCGCAGATGGGGCGTATAGTCTCCAATTTCGCAGGTCGTGATGTTATGGTCTTGTTCTGTGCCCTCCTGCTCCCCCATCACTTTTTGTCTACCTTACTTTTCCTTTCTTTTTTTACCCTTTCTCTTCTTTTTCTACGGTGCATTTTTTTTTTTTACATCTTACGCTTTCTCCCAAGTTTTTTTTTTTTTTTTTGTCTATCCTCGTCTACTTTGTCAATGACACTAGGAGTTCCGGCTCGTTCAATTCAATCCACCATGATACCGGTAACCCACTTTTCTAACCCTTCTAAAAAAAACCAAAGACAAGAAAAGAAGCAAAACAAAAAAAGGAAAAAACCTTTAATCCTCCCCATCCAGTAGAAACTTGGGTAATAGGTATTACAGCATCCAGCGCCGGTCCCACCCAACACAGTAGAAAGCCTTTTTTTTCTTTTTTCACCAATTTTACTGTACCTGTATAACCCCGCTTCTAGTAGACACCCGACATTGATAGCCGTCGCCAAAACCGGAGGGTTACAAGTCCCGCGTTGCGCTCGGAGTCGGGGGAATTACCTGATTACCGGGTCCCTGATTGGCAGGAATTGTGGCTCGATTTTGCGAAGGTTTCGAGTGAGGCATTGTGAATAGTCCGTGCGCTGGGCCATGGTATATCCTCGATAACGGGGTAGTCTATGATAGGAAGGGTAGGGTTGGCTGCTGGGGGAGGCGGAATGGGTTAGATCCTGCGACGGTTCCACTTGGGGTATATTTCACAGGATGTTATCGCGCGCGAAGAGCGAGGTTATAGTATGCGGAGAGTACTCTGGCCAGCTGGTATGGTATATGGTATTGGGTGGCACGGTGTTGAATTGCCGGTGCTTTTGCAATCGTCTACCTGATAGCTTGCGCGTTGCAAAAGTGCTCGAGTACCGTAACTGTGGCCCCCTGGGGCATGGGTGAGGCTGTAACTCGATTACAGCACACACACACTCTCTCTCTCTACTGCACCCCGTGCTCTAACTCTATTGACACCATCCCCGGCTCGTGCTATCATTTCGTTCTGTCCCAGCTCGTTCTCGTCTCTCTCCGTGTGTTTGTGTTTGTGTGTGTGTGGTGTAACCATGACCCCCTTGGTACTTGTACAGTACTACTCTACTTTTACCCCCCTAGGACCTCCTGGATCTCCTGCTCGCACTTGGTAGATCCGAGGACGACCTGAAGGGAGTTTGTGGGGGGGGAGCGGCTTTGGCTGTGCCGTGTAAGCTCGGTGCCTATGGAACGGGAGGGGCACCGTATATGACAGGAGAGTAGCGTAGCGTACTGTAGTAATAGATGATGCATTTGGTATGGGAAAAATAAGGAGGGGGGGATATTGGTACTGTATCTCGAGAGCGCGCAATCTATTGCCTGGGAAGTACTAGCTGAGTAGGCGCCAACGTAACAGTACGAGTACCTGTACTGTACTGTGCTGTACTCATTCTTCCCGGGTTGGAGTCGCTCCTCACTCGGTGCGTCACCACTAAGGGGGAAAAAAACTTTACTTCAATCCGGCGATATGAGTACTGTACTGTACTCGTACAGTAAGGCATCCGCAAAGAGGCTGCTGGTCTGCCCGCCCAGCTCGCGCCAAAGCCGAAATTAACTAATGGTCCGGGAGGAATTTCATGTCACGTCTCATATTGGCGGAGTAGGGTTGAACAATTCACTGTTACACTGTCCATTAATTTTCGGTCCCGGTCGTCTGTCCTGTGGTGGGTTGGGTTAGCGAATGGTTCGTCCGAGGGACAAGGAGTGCGCTGGGCCCCGAGCAGAGGTGAGCTGGTCAGTGATGGGGTGGGAGTTCTTGGCATCGTAACATGGAATGTGCTACGGGACTTGCGGGAATGGTTAGCAGGGCGGCTTCCAATATACCGGTTTTGCCCCCGGGTTGGGAAGGCTTGAGAATTCCTCGCCTAGTTGCTTCAGAGGGCGCGATATCGGATTGGAATAGTTGGAGAGTGGGGGGGTGGTTGAGGTGTTTTTCCATGCAGAATTTTTTTTATCCTTGCACTCGCCAAGAGATTGCCATTTCTGCCCTACCTTGAGGAGCCCAGTCCTACCTACTACAGTACCCTACCCGGTCCAGTGTTTAGGAAAACCCACAAGCTACGGTGCGTGGGATTGCTACTGGGCGCGTCAGTTGACGAAAGGCGCTAGCTCCCTGGCACTGCGGGTGTTCTTAGGAAGGTTGGTATGGTGGCGTCTAGAGATGTAACTTGTGTTTGCTGAGGACATGTCTATGTAGGGCAGATTTTCCGGAGATTTCTTCCCCTTGAGGGGCTGTGGTTATCGTCCGCCGCTGTCACGTATGATATCATATCTCGACTTTCTCGAATGTATCATACTCCGGGGCTTGAACAACCCGGTGGGTTGGGCGCCCTATGGCAACGGTCTGAGAAGGTACTTGGTCACACGGTATGGATTAGTGAAACCTCCGTGCCAGAGCAAACCCTTCAATGGACGATGCAAGAGCGGAACAGAAGCTGCCGATCGGGCATCATATGTCCTGGGGGGGGCTGAGTATCGTGGATGGGCACTTTCAATGTGCTATAATCATCCAGAATGCGCAGCATCAATTTTGACATGGTGGGAATTCCTCATATCCCTGACCTAGTCACTCGTCGCATCCAAAAGACCGAGAGGTTTGCACCCAAACTACCGTAGGAGGGGACGTCTGGATCAATTGAGACTACCACGGGTGCCAAGAAACCTGGAAACAATGCGCGAGTATGACACCGTACCGTTACTCCCTGGCCCTCTCCGGCGCCATATCACACCGAGATCCCCCGCTGGGGTGTCACGGCCAGTTGGTTCTCTGTGGGGTTTGGCCCTATTGGTCAATGTAGCCCCCGCAGGAATGCATTTCCAGTCGTTGCCCGGGGTGGGGAGGGTGTTCGTAATGAACGGCATTTGATTTTGACAAGACTGTTGCTCTTACATGCTGCCAAAAATTCAGCTTTTTTGCTTATATATTTGTGTCATGCGGTAGTAGTCGTGCTCAGAAACACCGTCCAATTACGAGTAGAGAGAGAGTCATGCATAACTAATGGGCATAACGTTCAGCTGCCGGGCAGACTAAGCTCTCGCCTAGCTAGAATAGCTATTCCTGGAGACTGCTTAGACGAAGACTGGAATTCTAGAGAGTTACATTGAAACCCCCGGGAAGGCTATTATTAATAATAATACTGGTATGTGAGCCTTGTGGTTTTTGATCCATAAGTTTCCCTCCAATATTAGTGGCTTTGAGATTTCTTGGTTTCTCGTAGTACAGAGGTGCTTGTGGGATAGACTGTGCGGGGTCATGGCCATGAAGCTCCATAGCGAGACATGAGTTCTATCTAGTGAGGTTGGTCAACTCTGGCGGGAGGTGTGATCAAAGACAATCCATAAGGCTACTCAATCATATTCACAACCCATGACCCATATACGTAGCATATGACTTGAGACTTGGCTCCAGAAACCAGGGTGAGAGGAAAACAACACCCAGCTAGTTCATTTTCTCTCTCAATATTGACTAAGGCGTTATCCAAGGTCTCAGGCAAGTGGCAGTAGATGGCGAGCCGGGGAGATCCGGAATATTCCAAACGCCCTAGAGACAATATCCCATGCATACCAGGCTGGTCGCGATCATGGGATGGCCGGTGGGGAAGTACCGGTATATGGTTATGTGGTGGGGGGCCTAGGGGATGACTTGAAGGCTTGGCTACTCATACTCAGTCACTCGTCTTGACTGAGTCACTCTTTGTTGAAATATGCTTCTGGCACTACCGTAGTATCACTCGCACTATTGATTTTCTCCTTGCATTAGTCTTGATCGCCATCTCAAAACCCCCTTACAATATTGGTACTATTGAACATACCTCCTTGCCTTTCTTTTCTTCTCTCTGTTTCTGTTTACTTCCTACTGTTGATTTACTCGCAACTTGTGTCTCGCTCTCAACAGTAGATAGTCTGGGTAGTTTGCTCTCTACTGAGAAGTCAATTAAGCAATTCATTATTCTTCTCGTCACTCAACCAGTTCCAAAAACCATCATTCCGTTCTCACTGTTTCAACACTCTTCTTGGACCAACACAGTAAGCTCCGTTGGGAATAGGAGGGTTTCGGAGGTTCGAAAATCAACGAGAGGCAATGAATCCTAATCTCGCGATGGTCGAAGAAGGTGCGGATCACTGGTCGCCGGAGGCTTGGTAAAGTCCTAGAAATTTGAACGACCCAATACGTTGGGCCAGACCCGGGTGAGGGTAGAACAAGAGAACAAAAACTCGTTTAAATTGCACTTGGGTTAGATACGGATGCACTCTGGCCCGCCGGGTATTCTGGGCTTAAGATCTTGGCTGCCCTTGAAGCTGGATGCTGCTCTAGCTACCGATTAGCGCGTGTGGGGGGGTGTTGCCGGAACTTTTGGTTATTGGATGGAGAGCGTTGCTCAATAGGACGACAGCTCGATTTCGTTTCCGAAGAAAATGTGGGACGTGTTGGTGGATTCGTGGCCTTTCATGGGGATATTTTTATTGGATTTGGAGAAGTTTCGTGTAGTATTCGGGTGGGAGTCACTGAACAGCTTATCGGAAAAGAGTGTGCATTTGAAGGTACAAAACGTGGTTTCTGGATGCTACCGCGCCATCCTAATTTACAGGGAAACTCTCGCTCCTTGATCGCCTTCGCCTCCCTTATCATGATTTCAAAATTTCACCCTCTCGCCATGTTCATGTTATTATATTATTATAATATTATTATATTGCGATGTCTATTGTTGATCCGCCGTTTCTGCATCAGTCGTTTGGAGGTTACTCCAGTTCTCGCACGTCTTCGGGGGGAGTTGTCCACATCCAAATCTGCTGACAGGAATATACTGCTGCTTAATCAAGTTTTAGCTAGAGGGTCTTGCACTGTATCTCCTCTTCATATCCACATTGGTCAAAAGTGCTGTAGTCACACCATTAGTCGGCGCTTCAGCTGCCCGGAATGGCCTGTCCAATTCCTGCTGTAGCGGGGGTCTCTTAAGCATTAGGAAGGATCTTTCCCAAGAGCAAATTCTTCCGGGGGGGTTCGGGTTTCTAAAGCCTCCATTCCACCCTCAAAATTCCGTCTGAGAGAAAGGTTCAGACTTGAATTTTTGAATTCTAAAGCTGCGAAAGCTCTCCCGTTCCGGGGGACACCATCAGCAATCGCGACCATCGAACCTGCGATTAATTGGTCTCGATCGAGTACCCGGTCTTCCACCCGAAACTACTTTTCCCTATTGGCAAGAGTATTGGGAGGGCGGCGATCCAGGGGAAATGGAGAAGTTGGCATGATAGAAATTTGTGTTTCCTGGAAAAGCCAGTACTTGAATGACGAACTGGGGAGTGTGTGGTCTTCGGGGAGGGGGTTTATAGGTGGTGATGGGGGTGTTCGCTGGGGGCCCGAGTTTTAGAAAACCTCGTCTATGTTTCCCGCCTAATCTGGGATTTCTCTACGGGAGCACTGCTCCTCAAAAATGCCATTCCGAATGAGTTGAACCCGAAAAGGAAGGCCTATGAGCCTTCATGAGGGTTCTCCGAACAGGTTTGTGAAGCATTAGACTGAGCTCCCTTAGTATCTGCCAGTCCCAATAATAGAATTTTGATAGAGTAATTTTGGTGGTTGGGGTTTGGGGGAAATCGCCAGAGGAGGGGCATTGCTTCGCAGATCATTCGTGGGGTATATCTAGCTGGTGCCTGGGTAGGAGGGAGTCACCCGGGCGGCCAGGCGGGCACGGAAGCTGGTCTTCTCAAGTGCCAGAATGATTCTGCGCGAGGGGTGCGATTACATGGACTCGTTCATAGGCTCAGATCCTACGAGTTGACTCACCCAATCCAGATATTGGTCTTTCCTTGGGCTTTCCCAAGGGCCCATCTATCCTATATACTAGAGGAAAATAACCCTTCACTGAAGCGAGTGACACTTCTCATGATAGTGTTTTCCCATGCTTAAAGAATTCAATAGTACCCTCTAAATTGTTTAGGCTCTATATACGATACCTGGCATCGCTGTTGGCTTGTAGAGACTCTTTATTTTTTTGGGGGGAGGCTTTGTGCTAGTATGGCTAGACCCTAGCCAATCATCTAGCTCCAGAGCAAACCTTCACTTATCATACCACGACCTACTTTTCGGAGATCCGTTATGCTTTTAAAATACTGC